AGCGTCAAAGAGAGTCCATGGGTTTTTTTTTTCATTATATTTTAGAAAATATTTGTGACCGTGCACACGGAGTGTCATGTAAGGAAAGGGGGAGCGGGCAAATAGTGATAGAGAGCAAATAGTATCACTTTAAATTTCTCCTCTTTTCCGCGTCTATTTTACCATTACTCGTTAATAGAAAGACAGTTCTCAAGCATCTAATCATCTTCTGAAAAAGCCGTAAAAATCAAAAGCCAAATATAGCTAGCGGAGAAGTTTAAAATTTTTCATTTATGAAATAAGGTAAAATCTGGATCTTTTTTTTGATATTTGAAGTTATATTTTCTTAATTGTTGAATCAATTGAATTGAATAAAATCTAACTTATTCTATGTTATACGGTACCTTTTTCCTCTATTTTGATATAATTCCTATGCTTGTATATTAATTTTATTTCTCTCAGTAAAGTTTTAAAAGGAAAAGTAGCCCCTGGGACAATTTTTAGTTGAGTAAATAATGACAAGTCAAAAAGCTTTTTTAATATTCGAATATGATTTTTCTAATTCATTTGGGATAATATGAGATTACAAGGCAAAATCCAGAACAAATGTGATTTTCAATAAGAAATACTAGCAAATAATGTTACTACTATTATTTATCACTTTATCACTTTATCAATAAATAAAAATTTACATATGGTAGAGCATAGAAATTAATATAAATTACTTTATCTAATCAACATATCAAACAAAAGATCGATTAAGAACTATGAATTATGTATTTTGTAATTGTCCCATAGAGTGTCACTATTTACCCATAGGGTGGGGCAAATAGTGACAAATGGTTTTTACAAAAAGTGACAATTCAGTTTTTATGAAAATCTAGCTGATATACATAACTTATGGAAACTCTAATTAAGTTTTTGGTATATTTAAAAGTAGAAAGTACTCTTTTAGTAAAAAATCATATCTTCTAAACTTGAAATTAGCTTGTGGGGAAGAGAGAAAAAATCCGTCACTATTTGCCCCCCCCCCTCTTTCCTTGCATATAAAAATTTTGTGTTCTTTAGATTATATCCTTGACACAGTTTCGCTGGATAAACTCTTCTATCGCTACCAAAACAAATTTACTATCGCTTCTTAATTACAAAGATAATGTTTCCAATGATTAAATGAAGGGTATACAATCCTCTTCTTTTCTCAACTTTTAATTAATTTCCCCCTTTCTCCTTAATAATAAGTAATATTTGGGTTTTCCCCAAATATACGCTTCTTTTTCTATCGATCAAGTTTCGTCGAAAAATTCTTTCACGAGAAATAACGATTTCCGACACGCGTTTTGCACGTGAAATATATTAAGCTATTGACGTATATGTAATTCAATCTTTGTGGATTTTGTATGAGCAGATTCCCTGCACAATATTTCGATGGACGAGTAATTGGCGCAGGCGGGAATGATCAATGCGCCGTCGACGTGTCGACAAAGATTTCCGGACGATCATTATACAGGCGGACAATCATCATTGTGCGCTCTGATTTGACCTAAAGCTACCGAGCTGTCTTGTTAACGTGACAAAAAGTGACCCGTAGAAATAGCTGCGAAAGAAGTTTTCCTTTCGAGTCGCTGCCCCCCCTACGATCATCCTTACGAACTGCGAAGGGCCGGGCGGCAAGAGCTTATATAATTGCGGCGAGCACGCATCAGGAGAAAAGAATTTACAAGGTGGCAAACGAGCGTGACCATCTCGCATTGTGTGCGCGCGTGTATTTCTTACACGCGCGAAGTGATCCCGCACTCAAAACGATCTCTTAAACGTTCCAAATATAACGAGGTCTCTCGATCTCGGGCGGGCCTTTTCACGCCTCGGTTAAAAGAGAAGACGAGGCGGCCTGCAGGCGGGCACGGGCGCAGGCGATCTTTGTCGCCGCAACGTAAATCCGACTAATTCTCAGCACGAGACATCCGGTCCGGTCCGCCGCGTCGGCGGGGGCGTCGCGGGGGCGTTTCGTGTGGTAAACATAATGTCGAGCCCTGTAAAACCTGTCCCCGTCCCCGCTTTACACGTTACGCATCCCTTCTTCTCGTTTCTCGCCGCAGCGCGTGCCAGCCTGCGGCTCGGCCGAATCGCAGCTTTTCTCCGCCGACAACACCTGGGGAGGATATCTTTTCCCCTCTTCGCAGCCTCTTCCTCTTCCCAGAGTTACGCGTCCCATTTTCATTATGTATTCCGCGACATTTGTGTTCCCCCTCCCCCCGCCCCTCAATCGTCAAAATAAATTTCTACGCGCGTGAAAATCTTCGCGATTATTTAACATTAAAAAAAAAAGAACTGAGTGACTAATATTTAACAAAATAACTCCTCATTATTACGCATACATGTGTAAAATAAATTAGAAATTAATTCCCAAATTAAATAAAAACGCCCGAATTAATTCGCCGAATTAATAAAAACCATTTTTTTTAAATTCGTATTACTAAATCGTCAATTAAAAGCGCATTTAGGGTAAAAATAATTTTAGCACAAATTTTTAAAGATGAGAATAAAAATACCAAAGTGATCTGAAGTAAAGGGGAATCCTCGTTTTGTATTAAACATTTCAGCTTCCGCGGCAACGTGAAAATACTTTATGGCAAATGTATCGGCAAGCGTACAGAAATTCGTGCATTTTCTCAGAGCACACCGATGCGCGGCATTATCCCTTGGCGTATCGCTATCCACCCACTCGAGTCGCCGCTCGTGCGCGCTTAAAATCGTACGATCTCTCGGCACGGGGCACAATGAAAAAGAGAGAAAAAAAAAGAACTAGACGAACGAATAAAGTATTAGGGAGCGTTCACGCGGAGGGAGGGGGAGGAAAAAAAAACGTAACTGTTGCCGGTACCTGCACTACCCCTGCGCAGGCCGTCGTTAAGTGCGGAATTCTGTTCGCGGCAGATTGGTCGATCCTCTCAACGGTATCCGGCACCAATTTCGAGGCTCTCGTCTATAACGGAAGATTAAAAGTATACTAATAACGAACGCGGAGAGAGCCGCGGGGAGAACCGTTCAGCGGGCTGCAGCGAGAACTATACCGCTATACACATCGTCTTTCGCCGCATGACGCACAATGACTTCCGAAACATATGTCGAACGACGTTTCTTCCTTCATTCTGCCCGACGCCGACCCGCATCGAGATGCGTTATTAATGCGTGCGTGTGGGGGTGCCCGGGGTCCCGGGAGCGCGAGAGAGTTTTGTCGGTCGAGCGACCGCGAGCGTTCCGAAGAAAGAGGGAAAAACGTCGAGGGTGCGGGCGGAGGGAGAGGGGATTGAGAGAAAATCCATTTTCACGTTTTAGACCGCCATCGGTCTGTGTATAAGACACGTGGATGGAAGAAGGCGGGTATATAGAGGCACGTAAGTGGGGGATCGGAGCCATCTGTGGCTCCAGACTGCCGCGGCCTACTACCGGTAGGTATACGAAGGCACGCTTCGGCCGCCGCGCCGCACCGTGAGGGTCCTTTAAATCCACCAGAGACACGCACCTTGAGACCTGTCCCGGCCAAGGACCCTCGACCGGCCCTTTAAACATCGACACCGAAAACGAAGACACCGAGGCGCCCTTCTCCGCCTCGCGTCCCTCCGTATATACCATACGACGAGAGTATACAACCGTCGAATGAATAGTATACGGTTCTTTTCATTTCCGACTACTAGCGTGTCTTGCATTCTCTTTCATTCGATCGGCCTCAATTAAGCTTAAGCTGGACGATCGCGTCTCAATTTGTGCCACGCTCAATAATACCCTAATACTGTATCAGAGAAGGCGCTTATCTGTGAGATGCAAGTAAGTAAGCCGTACGTCACTCAGATCGAGCGATATAATCAATTACAGCTAATTAATTTCTCGATTCTTAATATCGTAAAAATAAATATAAATATTCAACGTGTATAATACGACTGGCACGGCTCAATACATGCGCTCTCAGAAACAATGTGCGATCGTAACGCCTGCAGACAATCCTTCCAGTGCCTATCGATCATATATGTGAACTGCAGTATTCGTGCGGAGTATTCGTGTTGTTTGCGTGGAAGATCAGGGTAGTGTTGACAGTCGACCGACAAAGCCAAATTAATTTGCAAATCGCTGTTGAAGCGAATCGGGGAACATTTCGCCTGCTACGATCGCGGGGGAAACGGACTAAGATGGTGCGCGAGCTGAGAGTAACGAGAAGGAGATGCATTATCCTCGAGTGAGTACATCAGATGATTGGAAGAAAAACTGCAACCCGTTGCCAACATCCCTCAAACTCGTTTCCGTAATTCTCGTTGCATTTCGTATTCTTCCTGTATTCTTCCCCCACTCCCCCCCCCCCACCCCCTCCACCCTTTTGTTGTCTCGCAGATAGCGATTCTTCACCGATTCATTACGAGATTCGCGGATTCGTTACGTATCTATAGCCGCGGAGGGCGAGGACGAGCGAAGAGCTGGGGCATCGTAGAAGAGCCTTCCGTGTCAGTCATTCATTCATAGCGTGGTACCGCTGTCGTGCGAGCGCAGCGACTGCTGGGGCACGCGCAGGGGGGGTCGATCCGTGGGGACGAGCTGACAGCGAGTCTCTTATTAGGGAAGGAGTCAGCAAGCATGATTATGTACCTTAGAGCGCGCGTCTCCGTCTCCCTCATTCACCTACCCCTCTCCCTCTACCCTTCGTGTTCGACGTCCTTCTTTCTTTCTCCACCTCGACTCGACGCCCCGGCGTCATCCTTGACGTCGCGCGACGACGAAGCGGCCGCCACGACCGACGCGAAGCTGCATTGTCAACCACCCCTTCCCCCCTTCCCCGCTCTTCTCCCGACTGTGTGTTCATATATGCATGCATTGGCGTAGAGCGATGAGAAATTGTCGACGGTGTACGATTACAATAGGCGATCGCCGGTCGCGCTTGTGTTTCGCGCGGACGAGAAAGTAATAGTTTCTCCGAGACGAGGTTCTCTCTCTACTTCTCGCGAATCGAGTTAATGTCGATGGTGTATACTTACGTTGTACGTTGCCGTGGCGGTGCGAAAGGTGCCGTCCCCTGAAACAAAAAGAATAATATATGTTGATTAAATCGCCAAACATTTCAAAATATTTTTACACGTATTTTTTTATTATAATATTAACCCTATTATATATTTGTATATTTTGTCATATATAATAACTTATTATACATCACTTTGCTGCATAAAACTGCATGTCATCGTTTTGTCAGAATCTTCGATAAATATAGTTATTTCGTGACAAGTTCTAATCTTTAAAGTAATTTACAAAACAAAATTGTTTTGCTATCTTATTTTTATCTATTTCAATTTTGTTCCCTCGTGGTTTTTATTGTTATTCATACGGTTCTCGCGGCTAAAGTAATTTTATGGAAGAAGCTGTTGTATATGCTAAAAACTTTCGCAGACCATAACGAAACATTAACAAATTTGTAAAAGTGAAATTGCCGAGAACTAAGCCGTACTCCTCGAAATTTGCATACCATCCACCTCGCCAATGCCGCCCAAGGCGATATTGTCGTCACAATGAAACCCTCTCCAAAGCCCTCGGCCACACCATCCCCCAGCAGCACACAGTCGCGCATACGGACTATGCAGCGCGCGCGTGTCGGCGACGAGCTTTTGCCTCGCGTCACACGTGCCAAAGTTCACGAATTTCGATCGCGCATAAATATCGAGGCGATATAAATATAGCGCTTGCGTTTCTCCACCGAGATTCCTCGCAATATACTCCGCAGCCAAAAATAAAGGCATTCCCTCGCGCGACGAATTATTTAATCGAAAACACGTAAAATGGAAAACGGAAAAAGTATATACCCTATATAATATATATATATGTATATATATATATATATATGTGTGTGTGTGTGTGTGTGTGTGTGTGTATTTACATTATTAATAAATTGCAATTTAGAGTGTCTCTTTTAGGCCTTCAAGATTTGTTCGGATTTGACGCTATCCGGATTACGAATAAATGTGACGCTTCAAATTAAAGTTATCCCGGATACTCGAATCTTTTAAGATACCCAAATAATAAAAGTATCGGATCTAAATCTGTATTTCGAATTCGAATCCGGATTCGAACAACAAATTTAGATTCGAAATCGAATTTAAGTTTGTAGCGGATTTGGATCTAAATTCGATAACTAAATATGAGGGTAAAAAAATGTTTTATACAGTTAAAAGGGTATAGCTTTAAATATAATAAATAAATTAAAATGTATTTAAAAAAAAAACAAATTTATATTATTTTAAAATTATAATAAAACAAAATACATTGAGGATGTATTTTATCCGAATTTAGATCCTAACTCAGATCCGAATCCAAATAATTCGGATATCCGGATTACCCGAATAATCGGAATAATCCGGTTTTGAGATTCGAATTGAAACCGATCTCGGATATTCGAATATCTGGATATTCGAATACTTAGAAGCCCTAGTCTCTCTACAACTTGGATCTCTATTTGATTTTATAATGACAGTTTCGACCGGCAAGATAGCTCGTATAACAAAATATCTGCGCGAAGAAGTTAGCTCGCGACGCGCCTCGAATATCTATAACTTGACTTTATTACTCGAAACTCTAAGTATGACCACCTATACTTCCATTCCGCTGCATTGTTTCGAGTGGAATGCACGGAGAAGGATCGAGGAAGTAGAAGTCAGGAGGAGGGCGAAAGAGAGAGAGAGAGAGAGAGAGCCAAGGAGATCGTAGGTGTGAGGCGCTGTTCGACGCCAGTATCTGAGACAGTTTCGACCGGCAAGATTTAACAAATAGGTAAAGTTTCGTCACGAGGATACCCGGAGTTTGCGGATTCTCTAGCGTAGCCTCGACATCCTCTCTCCTCTTTGTTCTCAAGTTTATGATGTATTAGCTGTTCCCTGTTGTAACCCGACCTCTCTCTTTCTCGTTCTTTCCCTATCCATCTTCCCGCGTTCCTTTCCTCCAACGTCAACCACCGTCTACTCTCTCTCTAGAGTTAGCCAATTTATGCAGCTCCGGGATTTAAGTTACAAAGTGAATTTAACTAGCGATATTTAGGAGAAATAATAGAAGCAACTTCATTGCTGAGTCTTCTTCTTCAAACGATAGAACTGTTTGACCAAAAAAGAGAACGAACAACGCAAACAAATTTGAAGTCACCTTCTACGACCGAGGTTAGATTTTGACGTCTAATATTATTAGTGATGATATTCAACTTATTATTGATAAATTTATTATTTCAGAGAATTTGGAAGAGACTTTTTAATATGTCGGTATCAATTGTTAATATTTTATCCAAGGCAGTCAAGAATAAAATTTTCGTCTTCGTGAAAATTGTCGGTCCAAAGTAGCCTGAGTATTTCGCGATCAAAAAATTTTGCCTGCTTGTCCGTGGCACGCAGACGCCACGCGGTATTGCCGTCCCGGGATTAATAAACTTCGTCGCGTTTCGGCTTAGCCCGTGGCGTAACTCCGTGCGGAGAAAATCAATACCCGATACACATCCCAAAGGTCCGCTTATACTTGTCGCGCTATCTCGCTTTTATCTCGATCGTATCTCGCATATTGGCGTATACGCCTAGCGTCTCTCTATATACACGTACATCACACGCCACGTTCACACACACGGACGGAGGCGAACACGGCGGTGGACACGCGTAACGCGGCCCTGGCGCGTATACAACACACACGTATCGGGCGCCGCCGCCGCCGCCGCCGCCCACACATCGTTTTCCCACACACCCTCTCGCGGGGCTCCTCCGGGGTGACAGATGGCTTTGTAGACAAAGAACTTAGCCGACTGGTTTTTCGTGGACGTTGCGTAACCCGATAAAAGCATAAACCCAAGTCGATCGTTTCGACATGCGGCGAGGAGTCGCCGCGCTCTCTCTTTCCCCGCTCCACCCCCGACTCTTCTTTACCACGCGCGGGGCGACCGATGGGGTTGAAAATCAAATCTGAGTGTCTCGGATGGAAATCTTTGTCCGGCCAAGATTGCTCCTAGCCCCTCCCCCCGTCCCGCCCTGCTACGACTATATCCTCGCTCCGTCCGTCACCCCCTTTAATCATCAATCAGATATTCCCCTTGCAATGTCGGGCGCTGGCGAACCCGTGTGTTGATCGCGACTGAAGCGCACTTCGGTGCGCCGTTCTACGGTGATTAGACGATTAGGAGCGTCCTTTGCTGGAAGGCATATTACGATCGTCGAGTATGGAATTAGCCATGGCCATTGTGCGCGCGAAATACTATTGACGCTCCTATATAGCTGCGTGTGCGCCCCGCGTCTAAACTCTTTGCCCGTCGTACGGCCGCATACACATGACGCTGCAATGTTGCTGCAATGCTGTTGCTGCTGCCGCTGCTACGCGTAATAGACTTAAAAATAAATTTCTAATGTACTGCCGCCGCCGCCGCCGCTGCCGCCGCCGCCGCCACCGCCGCGCGAGGGAAGTACGTATATACGCCGATATATCAGCGAGCCGCACAGTTATGACGCGCGTTGTTGGAAACAGATTTATAATTAGTTTCCTGTTGTTGCGACATCGCGTAAAGCGTACGTATACGCGCGCTCGTTGGGTGCTGCAGCGCCAAGCTTAGCCTCCGATATGCTTGTACGAGCATTGGCACGATATGGATTATCATTATATATTATATACGCGTGTCATTTTATTGCAGCGTCCCCGCTTCATTTGTGCCCCGCGAACATTGTACGGATTTACCATACGAAACGCTCATATTCGTTAAATTCGTAGAATGACACGGTCATTGGCTATCATGCGGTTATTTGCCATTCTGAGCTTGTAAATATTTTACTGCGTTAATACCTGCTAATATGCTTTACATATATGCTAATTTTTATTTTACCGAACACTCGCCGTATTATTTTTAAACAAATGATAAATTTATCAGCGTGAAAAATTATTGAAAATGATCGATGCTCGTAAATTTAGCTCGTATTTCACGTAAAAGTGTGTCTCGATCGTGTTTTCAAGAAATGCTTATTGTTAGAAATATGGCAAATAATTATGTATATCTTAAATATATATAAATTTTAAATAAATTAATTTTCTGTTCGAAAAATATTAGCTTAATCGTGATACGATTAATAATGATTGTAACATCGTTGATTAATTTTTTGTGATAAATTATTGTTTATTCTTTTCTGAAAACATTGACAATAAAGCTGCTGTCAATTTTATGCCACAATAAGAACTCACAAAGACCAGTATATCAATCGAGCGACGTCTCGTCCCACGCGATGAGATTAGTTTTCGGGTTCTCGTCTTACGTTCTCTGCGTGATTAAGATGCGAGCATGCACGCGTGGTACGCACACGCGCGTGCATCCGAGAAAGGGGCGTCGAATCGAATGGGTGGCACAATAGGCACGTGGCAGAATCTAATCATCACAGAAGCCTCAGGGTGAGCCTGTTTTTTTTTTAAGTTTCTCCTATTCAGCGTGTTAACTCGCTGGAAATTTATTAATTCGAATCAACGTCACCGATCGATACATTGTGCGGCGATTGTCTTTCCTTCGCTCGAAGCATCCATCCTTTAAAAAAAAAGAGATGAGTAGTGATCACGGTTCAAGTAAGCACGTTTCGCTCTAGGAAACGGAAGATATGGAATTATAGACTTCTCAATTGTCATTCTTTCTTACTTCCATTTTTTAAATTAACCTGGTTTCGAGAATAGTCACGTAGTTCGGAATGCTAATAAGATAAAAGTAATGTTGTCCTCGTTGGAATGAAAATCCCGAGATAGATCGACGACGTCGATAGAAATAAATCTGCCAATACGCCTCTAAAATTTTCCACGAATATAGCTATCCTATACACAATTAAACATGTATTACCCCGGATGCCGCATGCCAAATGTTATCTCAGTTGCGCATTGTCGCCCATCGAGAAAGTCGTATATCTAAAGTTAGCGTTTGATAACTAGCTCGACACTCGATTAAGCCTCTATCGCGCACGAGAGACTTGCGGTTGTATCTGAAAGCGAGCTACACGAACATGTGGCCCCTGCCTCAGGAGACGCCCCCTTCGTACT